CCCCCGGCCCGCCCCGCGACAGCACGCGCAGCGACTCCCTTTCTGGGGCCCACGGTGGGTTTTGCACCCTTTAACGCAGCGAATAGTTAACAGGGCCCTGCAGCGCAAGGGCAGTCGTGCTCGGAGCCTGCACGCTGGGGCTGGCGCGGTTCCGCGGAGGAAATTTCCAGGCTGCAGCTGCGGCTCCCATGGCCTCGGAGCTGCCCCCCGCAGCAGCCGCCCCCGCATGGCCCTCGGAAGGGCACCGGGAAGCGCCCGGAGCCGCCTCGGCCCTTCGCACGCACGGAGGAAGAGGAGGGCGCGGGGAAGGGCACAGTGAGCGCCGCCGCAGCCTCCGTGCAAGGGGGAGGTTAATGATTAAACACGCGGCTGCCGCTCAAACCCCACCGCAGAAAGAGGAGCGCGGTGGGGGCGATGACGCAGCGTCACCCTCCGACGGGACACACGTTTTCTAATGGACTTTTAATGGGATCCAGCGGGTGGTGACGAGGGGAGCGCGGGCAGGCGAGCGCAGCCCCGCTGCCTGCAGGGTCTCTGCGCTGCAGACGGCAGCACGGGGACAGCATGGAGGAGCGGGGACGCTCACGCAGGCGCAAGGCGTCCCCCCTCGTCCCGCGCTCCCACCTTGCTGCCGACGCAAACAAGTGTTTGAGGAGCAGCCCGGGTCCCGCGGGAGCAGCTGGGAGCAGATGGTGTCTAGACACGCGGCGGCAGCAGCTGCTCCGGCTTCCCGGGAAGTTCAGCTTCCGTGCTGCGGAGCGGCGCAAGGGGACGAGCGCTGGGAGCAGGGGGGAGTTGGTGCCGGTGCAGGAGCCAACGCAGCAGCCGGGCCCTCGGCCTCCTGCTTCGCTCCCATCCCCACGCGCTTCTGTTCAGGGGAGCTGGAGCCGCTCGTGCTGCCGTGCGCGAGCCTCCCTGTTGTCCAGCAGCGCTTGGAGGAGTCACCTTTAATGTGCGGCTGCCCTGAAAGGAGCCGCCGCGTCCACCGGAGCAGCAGCAGCTCCTGCCTGTGTCTTGGTAACAGGGGGGCATGAACCTGGACTCTGGACCGCAACCATCTCCTCCCCCTTTTTTTGGGCAAACAGAAACCAGACTCCCTTCGTGCAGCACCAGGGCCATTCCCCTCTCCCAGGTGGCAGCTCCATGACAAATTCCTGCTAGGAAATGGGATATCCACAGCTGCAGGAGCAACCCCAGAGCCCTGGGGACTCCCCCACTCATGTCCAGGCCACAGCCACCTTCAGCCTCCACCTTTCCGCACTGCCCCTACCCGAGTGCCTGCTGCAGGAAGGGGAACCCCTCCTGCTCCCTTTCCCCCATCCACACAGGGCCCCATCCTCACCCACAGGAGCAAGTGCAGCTCTCTGGAGCTGCTGCCCAAGTCACAGCCCGGCACAGGGGCAGCTGACATCAGTTGGGGCCAGAGGCTCCCCTGGGCTGCCGCTGCCAGCAGGGGCCAACACGTTCCCAAGGAAAACACGGCAGGAGGGCAGAAAGGGCCAGGACGCAGCAGCGGGGGCACCACGGTGCAGGACACAGAGCAGGCCCAGCCTCAGGGCCCTGGGCAGCAGGAGCAGAGCCCCCCGGCACCAGCAAAGAGACAGCTGAGACTTGGAAAATCTGACATTCAACAGGCAGTAAAAAAAAGCCTTATATTTTATTTCTTGTAAAAATCTTTTTAACACATGCAGACTAAAACCAGTGTAAGAAAGTATCCACCATTGTTTAAACAAATAACTATACTTAAATATAAGTGTCTGCAATTGGCTCGTATAAAAATAAGGTACGTTTTGCTCTTTACAGAAATCCATTCTCCAGTTCTCATAAACAATACACAACTCTAATACATAGAATTTAACCTGATCATTGTTTTCCATCAATTTGATACTGCTAAGGTATTATGTGCAAAAGTTGGTAACAGATCTTTTCCCCCCCAAAAAAGAAAAGTGTTCTACGCATTTTAGAAAATTAGATATTGGGCTTTAAATTAATCAGATCCTCATTGTTTCTTGTCCATACGAGTCCGTCGCTGCGGTATGTACAGGCTGGGCAGGGCTCAGCGGCGGTGCCGGCCGTGGCCCGAGCGGCCGCCGTGGTGCTTGCCCTTGTGGGGCCGCTCGAAGGAGCGCGAGCGCGAGCGCCGGGTGGTGGGGCGGCGGCGGCCTGCCGCGGGGGCTGCGCGAGCGGCTGCGCGAGCTGTAGGTGCCCGACAGGCTGCGCCGGTTGTTGTAGCTGGCGGGGAACGGACACAGGGTTAGTGCGGGCGGAAAAAGCAAAGACTCTTTTTTCCTATTTAGGAAATCTTCCAAGTTGACTGGAAGAAATCATGAGACACCTTCTCCCAAGGGGAGATTTATGATAAATGCTACTGACATTCCCAGAACATGCCTTTTGGAGAGGAGTTCCTTTAAAAAAAGGAAATAAAACAGGGCCAAAACCTATCCCCAAAACAGAGCAATTCTTCCTTCTGCCTGTTAAGAACCTTTCCTTCAACATCAGCCTGAAAACTGGACACTGTCTTTTTCCTTAGTGATTTAAGTCAGGAATACCTAGAGGAACATACTATTGAGAACCAAGCTGGCAGTTCCCACCTAGAATAGGAGAGGATTCTTAGAAAACAAGGCCAGCAACTGTCACTTGTGCCATCTACTCACTGGCAGTTGCCCATCTTTGCTCTGGATGTAGAGAGAGAAAGCACCAAAGAGGCAGAGCGTTTTGTGTAACCCCCTTGCACCAGAAGGAAGCCCTTGTCCCACACACCTGGGAGAAACCTGCAGCATACAAAGTTTGCCTTGTTCTAGGGGCTTCATCACTGCTGTAAACTGGCTGAATCCTGTGCCAAAGTTCATTTTCAACAGTTTCCGTGGCTATTCCTTGTAAGGGTGACAGCCCCCTTCGCTCACTCACTGTTCCACAAACCCCCTGACAAACCACAGCTGCTCTCACGACAGGCCAGGGCTCTTGGCACTCTGGCCCTCACACCGATGCAGAGCTGCGCAGCGCCCAGGGCTGCAGCCTCCCGCACTCGCTGGCCAGCAGCAGGTGCTCAGGACAGGGAACACAGAGCAGTCTCATTGCTTTGAGATGAAAAGTATTCCCAAAATATCCCAGAGAGCTGACTGGGACACAAAGCAAACAAAAAGCACTTACTGCCTCCTAGGAGTGTGAGATCGAGACCTTGACTTTGTTCTTGACCTAGATCGACTAGCACTTCTGCTGCTCCTACTTCTCTTGCTTTCTTTTCTCATGCTTAGAAGGAAGAAAAAAGACAAACCAGAAGAGAGGGTTACACTTCTGTGTTACTTTATGCAAATACTAAGTACTTTACTGCATTGCACTTGAGAATTTTTTAAGCCCAGAAATCTGTTGGTCAGACTTTTACTTACCCATTGTAAGGGCTCTTTGCAGCTTGCTGCCTTTCTTCTGGCTCTTTTTTAATGGTTTTGGTACTCAGAGATACTGGACTCTTCTCTTCAGTCTTTATTTCTCTTGGGGAAGCTAAGAATCAAGCAATTCAAAGTCAGGTGACATCTCACAGGCATTGTCATAAACATATTGTAATTCTTTATGTACCTTTATGAATATGTACATAAAATATAAGTATCAACTTGACCACTACTACTTCATTCCCCCTTTACATTTACAGGACACTTCTGCCAAATAATTTGGGAGTGCTCACTGGCTGGGCAAATACCAATATATTCAGCTTACTGAATCAATTTTTGTATTCACCATCTTTTGCTTAAGAATATACTGAGGAGTTGTAAAGAGAGCATGAAATCTTTCTCCTCTATCTAGTAGGAACAACAGGTTATTTCACCCATCTTCTGTATCTACACCATTTCCTCTCAAAATCTGGAGGAGGTTGGGAAGGACACTGGGTCTTGCTGCTTGCCTTGCAGATTGCTTTTTGGAGCCCAGCAGACCAGGTCTTGAGTGCCAAGATAAAGAAATCTCAGTTTATAATGCCACAGATACACAGCTTGTTACCTTGACTATTCATTTCCAATGTGATACAAAGAACTGAGACTGAAAAGCAAGAGAATTACAGATTTCATTTCTAGATTAACAGCACAAAAATAACAAACCATCTAGTTCACAGTGCACAACAGGACAATGCAAGGAAAAAAGCATCAACTAGGTAGAACCTTGTACCCGGAAAGCCATGGCCTGTAACCCCAGCAAGCGCCTTGCAAAGCCGCCTTGAACACGAGTTCCTCCATGGAAGAGCCCCCCACAAGAGCTACACGTGTCCCTGTCCTGCTGACAGCGAGACAGAAGTGCTGCCTTGGAACCTGCTCGGCAGCCTCTCCACTTAACAGGGCTCACAGGCTTTCAGTGAAAACACAAAAAGTCAACATTTTTTCAGCAGCCTCCCCTCTGTCCGTGAGCTAATAAGAGACCTTCCATAACCCCATCTGCTCCCACAGGTCCTGTTTTCACTCGCTCTTCTACCTAAGCTCCCCCTTCTAGGGAGGGGAAGGGCAAGGAAGGGCTTTCATCCTTTAGCAAGACCTTTACACAGGCCACTTCAAAGGCCCCTGGAAGTTCAGACATGCAGTTCCCCAAGAGGAGCGACTACAAACGCACAGGGCTCTCTTGGAGGGTGCTCTAATCCTCCAGAGACCACGCAACAAATGAGTGCCTGTGCCTTGCGTTACCCATCACAGGAGCAGAGCTCACCAGCCCTGCTGTGTCTGCTGCTCCCTTACACATCAGTAAGTGTCACGAAACACCAAGGCCAAACCCTTCCTTCTCCACATCACCAAAGTTCAGGCAGCTTTAGTGAGTGACCCAGGCCACAAGCTGCATGGTTCTGTAATGCAGAACCAGCCCTGTTGGAGACGCTCCTTCTCCAAAGCCTGAGCAGAGCACCCACCCCTGCCAAAACCCTCAAGGAAGTTTTCAGAAACTCCTGCTGTAAAAGAAATCAAAGCCAATTATAACACTGACCCCAAGCCAGCGAGTCTCTTCACAACGCAGTTATTTCCAGGGTTACTTAGAGAGACATTCACTGTATGATTCCTTAGCAGAATTAGAGTGAAGCTTCTACACTGGTTCCTCTCATTTGTTATTTCAAGCTACCAATGAATGGTTTTAAAATTAGTGTTTAAGCTTGCCTTGCTTCCTGGTTCAAGAAAGCTAAGCTAACAATTTAACAAGTAAACTGAGTTTTCTGAAGTACATTCAAAATGAGTGTCTAAAACATCCCCAAAATGCGGTGCAAGTTTCTGTACAAAGAACAAGCTTACATGGTTTGGATGCAGGAGAAAAGCCACCCAGTGTTGAGAGTGCTGGAGTTCCGTCAGGATTTAAGCCTTTTGCCTTCAGTTTTGCTTCTTGTAGTGCCGTTTTTCTCTTTTCTACTTCTTTATCCAGGAAATCATAATTGGGCTGTAGAAAACAAACAAAAAACCATACAGTAACAAAGCAGTAAGAATTTGAACACAATTCACATTTTCATCTCATTCCTCAAAAACATTCAAGCTCTTTTTAATCATGTCTAGCTTGCCATTTATTCTCTCACTGATTGCCCTACAGAAATGAACACTCAGGCAGTGGAGCCCTTTGGAGCAGTAAATCCATATGCAGCTATTCCCAAACATGGAAACAGCCACAGGGCAGCTTGAGCTGGACCGAGCAGTGAACTGAGAAACAACAACTCTGCAGGTACCTTCTTCCTCGTGTAGAGCTTCAGCGTCGTTAGGCAGATCTCCTGGATCTCTTCCTCTGTGGTACCAAAGAGCGAGAACCAGTGCGGGCGAGTAGGCAGTGGAATCTGAAAGTAAAACTAACTCTTAACAGATATTACAGACAAGATCCACTTCACATTTTCACTAACGTTACTGGGAAACAGACTGTCTAACAATAAAAATCAATGCTAAAATGGTGAATACCTACCTGCAGAGCTCTAGCAGCAAGGTAAATGCAAGCACATGCTATAGTCTCTGGCTGAAAACGAACAAATACATTTGTTCGAAGGCTGTCGTTCATGTAATTCCTAAAATAAAAAGTTCATAAGAGGTTGGAATTCAGGTTGTGTCTTTTTAATTTAGGAGGTAATACTGGAGACTCAATTGACTTTATTATTTTTTCTTTTAATATAATAAACATTTGGTTTCTTTAGAACTACTATATTTGATGTTTACACTTGTTACTTCTGTAACAAGGCATGCACCACTGCCACTGCTGGAAATCCCAATGCAAGTTAATAGCCTTTAATATTTTCTTCCCAGATATATTACTTGTGCTATGAAGTGTCCATTGAGCTAACAATTTAACAAGTACTTTGTATCTGTCCAGCTGTTTGCTTTTAAACACCCATATCCGTGGTTATTTCAAAATGAGTAACTTTTAAAATGCAAGCATGTAAGCATAGTATGTCTATAACCTACCATTTTCCAGAGGCTAGATACAGCCTACCAAATCCACAGAACATTGCATTTAAACCCTATTTGTGTCTTGAGTGACATTAACTTCATCCAGCAAGAGAAGCATCCAATTTACTTGTTGAGCTTAAAACCTTCATGTTGGAAAAAGATCTAACAGGTTAGCAGCCAACCTCCTACTTCACTAGGATACTTCTCTTCCGGCACGATGGCCTCGCCAAGCAATTTATGCCAAGAACTACATTTAAACAGCAGAGACTCCCATGATTTTTAAGTTCCTGAGCTACAGGAAAGAAACAAACAGCAGTCATTAAGTATTGATTAAACAGGAAACAGTGCCCAGTATAGCTTCTAAGTGAACATGCTGCATGCACTGCAATCTTTTTTAAACTCAAGTTTAGCACGTTTAAGTCAACTAGATTCACGTTCTCAGAAAGTCTACCAAACGTGTCCATGTGCCCTTTAAATACACTACAGCATACAGTAGCTAGGCAACAAATACATTTAGAAACATTTTGAACAGTTACTTCTAAAAGCAAATATACAAATCCTTTTGACACCCAGACAGAACTAGAAGATGCTGCCCGCTGGCCATGGACCACTTCAGTGAATCTCGGATGAGAGCTTGCACTGGGATGGCTGGAGAGAAGGGCAGCCAAACAGGCCATCCCCAGGTCATGGGCTGAGGTGCAGAGGGCAGAGCTCTATGACTTACCATCAGGGACTACCCTTTAATCAAAGAGTAGAAAAAAGAACAAAGTTAAATTGAGTTCTCCATGAAAATCGTTGAATCAAGCCATGAAAATAGTAAGCAGAAACAAGCACTAGCACGCATTAAAAATGTATGTGTTTATATAGTAACTTACATCTCATTGCTTTGCATATGGATCATCAGGCTTGTTATTTCTGCTACTATTTTCCTGGCTAGGAAAAGAATGGAAAATAACTTACCAGGCTGTCTGTACCAGGGTTTGATTACGTTCACATTCTAAGACTTGTAAATACATAACAATGATCTGGGGGGCAAGGAAAAAGAGACTCAGTTTTAACATAGAAATCAACAGTAGCAAAGTAAGTGTTTATAAACAAGCAGTTTTCTGTTAACAGTTGCCTCCTGTTTTCTAAGCACATAGTGAAAGCCCATGTCATTGAACCAGGCTCAGACAACTCCATTTACTATTATATAAAACATCACCTTTAGCATTTCACAAGGAAGCATTTTCCGCCCAAGTTAATAGGGCCATTTGTCCACACATTCTGGTAAAAGTCTTCTTACGAATATTAAGAAATAAAGAGGAGGAAACCAAGTCATTTAAAACATGTATTTCTTGTCCCACACATCACAACGATGACAGCAAGGCAGTGACTTTTTTTTCTTTTTGTTTTTGAAAACTTACCTTATGTGGATGCTTGACATGAACACAAAATCCCAATTCCTTCAGTACCCTCCTTTCTGCTTTGATTACTTGATTTTTGGTGTTTATGTAGTTCTGATCAAGTATCAGGGGGCTTGGAGTCCTACAGTTTGCAAGAAATAAAATCAAAACTGTTTTGCATATCCAAAATATCATCAACTCTGTTTTCCCTTCCAACCAACTAATGGCAACAGAAACCAGTTTTCAACTCCTGCAAGCAAGTTTAAGCATTAATCTTGTGCTGTCCAAGTTTACCTAAGCTAGTTAAGTTTCTGCTTTTAACTAACTACAGATTAGATGGCTAAAGATGAATAATCTTCTCCTATTGTGTATGCAAACTACACCTACCAAGCTGCAGGAACAAGAGGGAAGTCTACAGCAGAGATCTTCAAGTACCTTTACACTTAACGATGGAGGCGAGGGCAAGGCAGGTGACAGTGACCTCTGCTAGGCAGTGCTTCAAAGCAAGGGCAAGCCAGAAGAGCTCTGTAGCAATTTAATCTAAAGCAGGAAGTTCGTGCTTTATATACTGCAGTTTCCCATGCAGCAGAAGACAACATGGAAACCTGGAATCAGAACAAGGCAGACCTGCTACTATGACATACAAAAAAAAAAAGCCTAATAAATGAAGGATTTTATTGTGCTGACAGATCTGTTGCTCTGGTTCTGAACACCAACGTGGTATCAGTCTTGTCCATTTTTGTTGTTTAAAACATTTTCAAAACAAATCTTTTCAAATAAAGAGTTGTAAGTCCAACATTACCAAGTCAACTCCTGATTATTTCAAAAACGTATGCCTAAAGTCTCAAAAACATTCTTAACCAGTACAGTTTATGCACAAGTTTTTTTTTTTTTTAAGCAGATTTCAACTTCACTTTTCATCCTTCTACATGCTGCATTTTAATCCCTAACAAGAAGGGAATAGCCAAGAGCAGCCTTTGCCTTACTGGTATCATCTCTCTCATATTTCATTATGTTCTCCAACCCAGGAAAGTGTTTTTAGCAGCTTTTTATACTCTAATAATCTACTGTTTGCACTATAAGCCTAGTGCACCGTAAGCATAAGTTGTATGTTATATTGAATCAAAAGAGTAATATATAAGAGAATCAAAATATAATGTTTGTTTCACTAGATAAGCCTTTCACTATTAATTTATCCTTTTTGACATTAAGTTCCCCAAGTGGATCACACTTTCCACACTGTACTCCAGCAAGGAGGAGCACTCAAACTACCTCTTTTCAAGGAAGAAAATGCCAGTTGAACCACAAGGCTAAAGCTCCCAGAGTTGAGACTCCTTGATAATCCAGTCTGTGCTAATTAAGGCTCCTGCAGCCACTCAGAAGGACATTTATTACCATTAGTCACAGGATACCACAAGCCATCTCACTTCCCCGAAATAGAAGCATTATGCTGTATATCTATTCAGTAAAAGCCCAAGTTACTCCTGCTCTTCACCAAATGCTGAGAAAGGGGTCACAGGAGGCTTGAAGTTACAGCTGCATCGTGCCCAGCAGCACACCTGCCTTGGGTACTGCTCTTATTGCTTCTCCTTCCTAAGGATTGAAGGCTTTGCACATTGCTTAGGAGTCCCTTCTCTAGTTAACACTTAACTACACCAGGGCAAGGCCATGAAGCTTTTGTTTTCAGCCATTGTGAAGATAACCTAGTTAAATATATATCGTTTTAGAAGAGGAACTGCAGAAGGGGAACTTTCAATGCTTATTTAACATGAGCATTCCAGCAGAGAGCCTGTGATATTATCCTGATATTGGGGAACACTGCAGAGGCAATCTGATCATATCACTTCAGGGTGCAAAGCTACATTCAGAAGAACCAACCTAGAAGTTCTTCAAATCAGTGAAACTGCGAGTGGGTCAGTATCAATCAACTGCATTTTTTAAGCAGTATATGCCCTCATATTGCTTTACAGACTATTATTTAGAAACCTCTAATGTAACAGACCAGACCTGCAAGACATACCAATGCAGAAGTGTTTTAGCTGTCCAGGCTCAATTCATCTCCTCAGCAGAGCACTGCATGAGAAGCAATGAAGAAAACTTACTAAGGCAGCTAGAACTTTTACCCCAAACATCGACAGTGGGGCAGTACAACTGCACCATCATCATTACAACTCCAATGGTCACGTAAGAAAGTCAGCGTTATGAAAACACCCGGCAGCAGCCACATGGGCACCAGGAAAGGCTGCAAGGCTCACGGCGTTTGCAGACCCGCTGTCATCCCACAGGGCAGCGGAGTCAGCACAGCCAGCTCCTGCTTTGGTTATAGATGTTGATTATTCAACCAGAGTGATAGGAAACTCCGGATTAAGATGCTTCCATGTGTGTTTTACTCTATCACTCCAGATCATCATGCTTGCCTAGATTTTAGGGATCTATAGACCTAAGCAAGCAGTATCCGAACAATAACCCCAGGAATAAAGGCAGCTTTTATTCACTTGGGCAAAAGTGTAAGCCTGCATAAGACTTGACTGCTCCTTAATACGACAAAAGGGATGTTCCCCTTTCTGTAAGATTTAACAGTTTTAGCAGTTCACCATGAACACCAGTCTGCAGCTTTAAATTTACACATTATTATATTAAATACAATTCACGAGTTTCCTTTTGAAAAACTTCTAAGTCCATTTCCTAGTGAAACAGGAGGAGGGGGAAGAGGAACATCCATACTGTACTTGCTTCAGTCCAAATAGTAATCATTTGAAGTAGTCATCATTTTAGGTAATAAAAGAAAAAGAATTTAAGATTTTATGTGAAATATAAGCTTAAAGCCCTATATAGCTTTGCCCACTGTGTTGAATAACCTGTTCTTGTAAATCAGCACAAGAGCTCAGGGCAAGACTTTCTAATTGCAAGGCAGAGCACAGAAGGCCCATTCTGGTAGGTCAGTCCAACACTTGGTTGTGAAGCTGTAAGCTCCATTTAGAGAGAGCATAACCACCCACAGGATTACAAACATACTGCAGTATGTGTTATGATGTACATAAATTCAGAGCACCGTTTTTAAACCCTTCTGACAAACAAAACCTCTATTCTCTACACAGCTACACGTGTGGTGAATATTGAAACTCCATGGCTTTGCAATGCCTAACAGAGGAAGGTGCCCTGCATGTAGTTTTTTTTTTTTTTCTAACATTAAAATACTTCCAGCAAATATAGCACAACAGCAGCATCTCAAAGACCAGAGATCTCTTACACAAGTCAACATGAGATGAGAAGGCGAGTTCTGTGTCTGTCCCCAACACTGCAAATACAAGTACTGTGGAGATTTAAATAAAGAACAGTTTTAAGAACACTAAATATTGTTGATTAGTACAGGCCACCTTCAAGGCAAATTTTACTCCCAACACAACTGCATGAAGCTGTTTGATTGCTACAACAGGAGTGAAGAGCAGCTGCCTGAACATCTCAAACCAACACTGGTTTGGCTGAGGCCTTGTAAGGACTTTCTGCAGCTTTCAGGCACATTTGAAATAAATAAAAAACTTCCAACTATACTCTGCATATTAAACAATGGTTGTACTTGGCTCAAACACAGATGTTTCAGCACATATTTATAAAGCAAATTTTTTCATAATAGGAACTTTTCTCCATGCACACAAGTTTACATGCAATACTCCATGACATACACTCATGAAAGATTCAGAGGAAACTGTGCTTGCTCAAAACACATTCAGCATTTTCTTATTTCTCAGTATTAGAAATACCACCTGTCAGTAACTCAACGGGTAACAAGCCTTGTAAAACGAAAATTCAAATGCAATTTCCAGTTCTGCAAACACTTACATACAAGGGACTGCTTACATTGCCATTTATGTGTCTGTGTATATAAATAGTTTTACAAATTCAAGGCTTCTGCATCCTTGTAAAAGTTCTAGGAAAACTGCAATTATACAGAGCCAGAAAGTTGAACTAAGAACTCAGAAGTGTTTAAGAAAGCAAGCAAGCCTACTGAAACTATGCAAACTTCATATGCAGGTTAAGAGCTTCAGTTAACAGAAACACTACACTAGAGGTGAAAAGAAATTACAGCAGCCTAACTGGTTGCTTCAGTTTTGGGTTGTGTGTGAGAAACTAGCTATGGCCTAAGTGTTAGCTTTTAGATTAAAATTTAAAAAGTAAATAAATAAAAAAAAAGATCAAGCTAGAATTCTAAAAACCTGGACAGCAAAGAAAAAAGCTTATAACAAGATACAGGAGTTCTTCCAAATGGTTCACCAGCGGCCAACCTGTTTGTCCCCCGATTCCAGTGACCTATTCTCAGAGCACTGGCTTCTCCTTGGGGATTTTCGATACTTCACTCACTGTTGCCATGACGACAGCTTCATCTTTATGTACCACTCCACATCACCCAGGCTTTGGTAAATGTAGCTGGTCGCTGTATAGTCGGTTGCAAGGGAAAAAAGAGTTGAAGTTAATAACGTGTACAGGTTATGTAATTGTAATCTTGTAAAAAGTACAGAAAAATGTTTACATCCTGCTTGTTAAAAAAGGGGAAAAAAAAAGCAAGCCTGAATGTCAGACTTAAACATTTTAAGATTAATTTCATGCAGATTCACTCGGAATCTAAAAGCAAAAATATCCATCTCTCCAGAAACAATGGGTCATAGCAGTGCATGATTTCTCTCGACATGAGGAGTTTTAGACACCACGTAACATGCATAAGTGACATTCTGATTTGGAACAGGCTGGCTGCAAAGATTTAAGTTCACAGGTTAAGTTCAGTTTTCTCTGATCCTTTCCAATACACAAGGAAACAACTAATCTGTATTCTCGCTGCAAAGAAAAGCACTGTGCATAATCAATTAACTCCAATGTCTGGTTCAAGGCCAGGACATTAAGAATCACTGAAGCAGCTTCAGTAATCAACTAACCAGACTCGCTTGTCCTAACTGTGGTAAGAAATAATACCACAGAATTCACATTCAACATAACTGCACAGAACTCTCAAGACTATCCCTGTTACCAGGGATAACAACTTAAAAAAAGAGCAAGAACAAAGCTAAGTTCCATTCAAACAATAGTAGCAATCATTGTTCTTGTAATTAAAGCTAGCTCTGAAAAGCTGAAAGCAAGGCCAAAAAAAGAGAGGAAGTTTTAACTGCAGCAAAGAAACAGAACCCACATAATATACCAAGAAACAGCCTGTTTCCCTAAGGGGTTTCTATTCTACACTACTTAGAAAAGGTAATACAATACTCAGCTTCAATTCCCATGGTAACCTAGCAATACAGGGGAGGAAGAAAGTTTATTTAGGCAGTTAACTGAAAACAAAATTCCTTTATAACTATAATCACCTTATTGTCCATCACAACTGACATGCCTCCAAGAACCTCTTACAGAAGTCTGCAGGACTGCCTCGTGTTAACTTTAAAGTACTATTGCATTTAACTGCAGTTGTTAAGTTTGAAGAGGTGCTGCATTTAACCGCAGTTTAGCAAACTCCTTCGCCCATTTTTTGCTGCAACAAATGACACTGTTTTGCTTTACACGTGAAAGCTCACAGCCCTTTACGCTCAGAAAGCCCGTACTAAACACTCACAGCCGAGAACAGCTCTGCAGCTGGAAGAGACAGTCACCCAGCTCCACATACAGATCAAGTTCATGTTCCAGCTTCACTGACTGACACAGACATGCTGTACTGTAAGAGCACAAGTCTCACTTTCAGTAATAAGAGATTTATTTGGCTTCCAAGACTCACTTAGACATTCCCGAGTGAATGGATGCCATTAAAGCTGAAAACACCATAGGCCAAACCACATTTTCTTCATTTTTACCCCTTTTCTTTTTCCTCCAAGTAAAAATCATTACTATTATTCAACTTCAATCCTTTTAAACAGACATTTTACTGCCACTATAAACCACACAAATGACAACACACTAACAAGAAATCATCATCAGAACTACCAAATATGGGTAAAAGACAGAAGAAACAGATGCAGCAACTCACTAATTGGCCAACCAAACCTGGGACTTCCCGTCATGAATTAAGACGTCAAATACAACTAGCAAAAAGGCCTAAAACTGCAACCAGCACTCAAGACTCGCAGCTAGTCAAGGAAGAAGAACGTGTCTACCAAGGAGTCAAAGTCCCACTGGAAGCAGCCAGCATTGCACTGCACTGCCTACGCAGCAGCCAAGGAGCACTCAATCCCTTCTCAATTTTAGGTCGTTGAACTTAGCCTGGAAAAATCCTGTGAGTTGAGAACTGCAGTGTGTATTAGTGACAATAAGTGCTTAGAGCGATTATGAACCTAATCTTACCTTTTTGCTCTCAACTGGCGCAAGTGATGGAACACATTGATCACGTCCCTTATGCGACGAGGCGCCTCTTCAATTTTGGAAGCGAGATTGATGCAGGCCATAGCAACAATCTGGAAAGAATCGAGAAGCGCTTCGCTAAGAAACAGGGTTATGTAACCAGGAAGAAAGACGGCCCGGAGGCCGCCGGGTTTATCCGCGGGAGGGCCGCGCGGGGCCGGGAAATGGCCGGGGCTGGCCGCCGCCGCCCGTGCTCACCTCGAAGCTGTGCTTGACGAAGGACTTGGAGTAGAAGAAGCGGTGGAAAAGCACCTGCCCCG